AAGTGCTTATTGATGATAAACTGGATTGGGGAAAATGTGGCACATATACACCATGGAATATTATGCAGCAAGCAGAATGATGCGTTCGCGTCGTTTTGTAGGGACATGGATGAATCCGGAGAACATCATTCTCAGCAAACCTGACACAAGAACAGAAAATGAAACACCGCATATTCTCACTCATAGGCGGGTGATGAAAATTGAGAACACAATGGACACAGAGGGGAGTACTAAACACTGGGGTCTATTGGGAAAAGGGGAGGGCCAGTGGGACAAATGTGGGTGAAAAGGAGAAAGCAAGCAAAGCACACTGCCATGTGTGTACCTATGCAACTGTCTTGCATGTTCTGCACATGTACCCCAAAACCTAAAATGTAATAAAAAAAAAAAAAGTTTTCCCATTCTGTTGGTTGCCGATTCACTCTAGTGACTGTTTCTTTTGCCGTGAGAAGCTGTGGAGTTTGATTAGGTCCCATTTTTCTATTTTGGCTTTTGCTGCCAATGCTTTTGGTGTTTTGGTCATGAAGTTTTTGCTTACTCCTATTTCCTGGATGGTTTGCCTAGATTTTCTTCTAGGGTTTTTATGGTGCCAGGTCTTATGTTTAGTCTTTAATCCATCTGGAGTTAATTTTAGTGTAAGGGTGTCAGGAAGGGGTCCAGTTTCTGCTTTCTGCACATGGCTAGCCAGTTTTCCCAACACCATTTATTAACAGGGAATCCTTTTCCCATTGCTTGGAATCCTTTTCCCATTGCTTGTTTCTGTCAGGTTTATCAAAGATTGTATGGTTGTAGATATGTTGTGTTGCCTCCGATGCCTCTGTTCTGTTCCATTGGTCTATATCTCTGTTTTGGTACCAGTACCATGCTGTTTTGATTACTGTAGCCTTGTAGTATAGTTTGAAGTCCGGTAGTGTGATGCCTCCCGCTGTGTTCTTTTTGCTTAGAATTTACTTGGCTATGCGGGCTCTCTTTTGGTTCCATATGAAGTTCATTGTGGTTTTTTCCAGTTCCGTGAAGAAAGTCAATGGTAGCTTGATGGGGATAGCGTTGATTCTGTAAATTACTTTGGGCAGTATAGCCATTTTCACAATATTGATTCTTCCTAACCATGAACATGGAATATTTCTCCATCTGTTTGTGTCCTCTCTTATTTCGTTGAGCAGTGGTTTGTAGTTTTCCTTGAAGAGGTCCCTTACGTTCCTTGTGAGTTGTATTCCTAGGTATCTTATTCTTTTATAGGAATGCTTTTGAATTTTGCACATTGATTTTATATCCTGAGACTATACTGAAGTTGCTTATCAGTTTCAGGAGTTTTTGGGCTGAGGCAATGGGGTCTTCTAGGTATACTATCATGTCATCTACCAATAGAGACAATTTGGCTTCCTCCTTTCCTATTTGAATATACTTTATTTCTTCTACTTTCCTGATTGCTCTGGCTAGAAATTCCAGTACTCTATTGGATGAGAGTGGTGAGAGAGGGCATCCTTGTCTAGTGCCAGATTTGAAAGGGAATGCTTCCAGTTTTTGCCCATTCACTATGATATTGGCTGTTGGTTTGTCATAAATAGCTTTTGTTACTTTGAGATACGTTCCATCAATACTGAGTATTGAGGGATTTTAGCATAACGAGCTGTTGAATTTTGTCTAAGGCCTTCTTTGTGTCAATTGAGATAATCATGTGGTTTTTTGTTTTTGTTTCTCTTTATGTGGTGAATTAGGTTTATAGACTTACGTATGTTGAACGAGCCTTGCATCCCTGGGATGAATCCTACTTTATCATGCTGGATAAGCTTTTTGATGTGCTGTTGTAATTGGCTTTCCAGTATTTTATTGAAGATTTATGCATCTATGTTCATCATGGTTACTGGCCTGAAGTTTTCTCTTCTGGTGAGTGTCTGCCAGGTTTTGGTATCAGGATGATGTTGGTCTTATAAAACGATTTGGGAAGGATTTCCTTTTTTTTGGATTATTTGGAATAGTTTCAGAAGGAATGGTACCAGCTCCTCTTTGTGTGTCTGTTAGAATTTGGCTGTAAACCCATCTGGAACTGGGCTTTCTTTGAGTGGTAGGCTCTTTATTGCTGCCTCGACATCAGACTTTGTTAATGGTCTATTCATCGTTTCAGCTTCCTCCTGGTTTAGGCTTGGGAGGACACAGGTGTCAAGGAATTTATCAATTTCTTCAGGTTTACTAGTTTATGTGCATAGAGTTGTTTGTAATATTCTTTGATGATGGTTTGAATTTCTGTGGAATCTCTGGTGATTTCTTCTTTATCTTTTTTATTGCATCTATTTGGTTGTTCTCTCTTTTTTTATCAGTCTGGCTAGTGGTCTGTCTATTTTGTTGATCTTTTCAAAAAACAAGCTCTTAGATTTATTAATTTTTTGAAGGGTTTTTTCAAGTCTCTATCTCCTTCAGTTCTACTCTGATCTTAGTTATTTCTTGTCTTCTGCTAGGTTTTGAGTTTTTTCAATATTGCTCCTCTAGCTCTTTCAATTTTGACGATAGGGTGTCAATTTTGGATCTCTCCACTCTTCTCATATGGGACATATTGCTATATATTTTCCTCTGGAGACTGCTTTAAATGTGTCCCAGAGATTCTGGTATGTTGTGTTTTCGTTCTCGTTGTTTTCGAATAACTTCTTTATTTCTGCCTTCATTTCATTGTTTATCCAATCAACATTCAAAAGCCAGTTGTTCATTTTCCATGAAGCTGTCGGTTCTGAGTTAGTTTCTGAATTCTGAGTTCTAACTTCATTGCACTACGGTCTGAGAGGCTGTTTGTTATGATTTCAGTTGTTTTGCATTTGCTGAGGAGTGCTTTACTTCCAATTATGTGGTCAATTTTAGAGTAGCTGTGATGTGGTGCTGAGAAGAATGTATATTCTGTGGATTTGGGGTGGAGAGTTCTGTAAATGTCTATCAGGTTGTTTTGTTCCAGGTCTGAGTTCAAGCCCTGGATATCCTTGTTAATTTATTTAAATAGTGCTCATGCATGATTATGCCCTGATTCCAGCCCCACCCTCAGGCTGAGAAAGAGAAAAGCCATTTCACAAAGGAGGATCTCCAGGCTCAATGAATGAGGATGGCAGGGACTACTTTGTAGAGTGTAAATCTTGGTAAGAGATGGGCCAGATATGGTGGCTCACACCTGTAATCCCAGCACTTTGGGAGGCAGAGGTGGGTGGATCATGAGGTCAGGAGGTAAAGACCATCCTGGCTAACATGGTGAAACCCCATATCTATTAAAAATACAAAACATTAGCAGCCGTGCTGGCATGCACCTGTAGTTTCAGTAAATTTGGAGGCTGAGGCAGAAGCATCGCTTGAACCTGGGAGGAGGAGGTTGCAGTGAGCCAAAGACATGGATGCAAGATGAACCCTTTAATCAGAGTACACAGTGTCCAATTTTTTTTTTTTCAGACAAAGTTTTGCTTTTTACCCAGGCTGGAGTGCAGTGGCATGATCTCGGCTTACCGCTACCACCACCTCCTGTGTTCAGGCATTCTCCAGCCTAAGCCTCCTAAGTAGCTGGGATTACAGGCACGCGCCATCATGTTCGGCTAATTTTTTGTATTTTTAGTAGATACGGGGGTTTCACCATGTTGACCAGGATGGTCTTGATCTCTTGACCTCGTGATTCACCCGACTCGGCCTCCCAAAGGGCTGGGATTACAGGCTTGAGTCATCGACCCCAGCCTACAGTGTCCTTCAGCCTCTATTTCCCACTCACAGACACACCCACGGACATGGGGTAAGACACCTCTATTTTCAGTCCTGCAGTGCCAACTACTACCCCCTGTCCTGTAGGAGTCTGGGCCTTGATTTCAGAAAACCTTTTCTTACATCCATCCCTCTCCTAAGCGTGGCTTTTTCCCTGGAGCCTTTTGGGTGGCCTCTGGTCAAGCCCCATGCATCCAAGATGCTCTAAAGATTGTAATCCTCAGAGAATCTTGATTCCTGTCTTTTCAGGAAGGCTGTGCAGGTTCTGGATAATTATGTTTACTTGGTGAGCAAAAAGAGTAAGATTTGATTTACATTCAGGGAGTCTAGAGTCTGTCTGAAAAGGTTTTCTATAGAAGAAATAACCTGCATGAGGAGACTATAATAATTTGGGTAGAAACCCATATTTGCAAATGTGTTGAACTGAACCCCTCAATGTACAATCTAGACTCCACATAGCAATACGAATGAACCCTAATAACAAAATGTGAACAAAACATGCATGATCTGAACAAAGACCTAAGAGAGCAGGATTTTGAAGCAAATTTCACAATATAGTGGAAGTTAAAAGGAATGCAAAGCAGGAAAGGCAGGAGCATGTTAGTCTGTGGCAGCAAGAAGATCCCATGGTGGGTTAAAAACAGGTGGTCCCAAAGTGTGTCAGTAACAGGCTGTGCATAGAATTTTAGTGCTTATAAAGTATGAGATTAAGAATTACTTATCATACTATACTATAAATGGTTTACATTCACTGATTGTAAAACAGAAGAGCAAACATTTTTTTAAAATGGTATTAATAGATTCAATGCTATCTCCAAAAAGCTACAGTTGACTTTCTTCACAAAATTGGAGAAAAACACCTTAAATTTCACGTGGAAGGAAATAGCAGCCTGCATAGCCAAGATAATCCTAAGGGGTGGAGGGAAGCTGAAAAAAAAAAAAAAAAAAAAAAAAAAACGCTGAAGGCATCATGGGACCTGACTTCAAACTATAATACAAGGCTACAGTAATCAAAACAGCATGGTACTGGTAGCAAAATAGAGATATAGATAAGTGGAACAGAATAGATGCCTCAGAAATAATGCCACACATCTACAATTATCTGATCTTAGACAAACCTGACAAAAACAAGTAATGGGGAAAAGACTCCCTATTTAATAAATGGTGTTGGGAGAAAGAATGTCTCTGAAATACTGACTCACATGAACCCCCAGAAAGGAAGAATAAGCTGCAGCTAAAGCCTAAGTGTGTGAGAGAAGGAAGGCAGTAGTCCTCACCTGGCAGAGACAAGGGGCCTTCTGAGATGGAATAAATAACCAAGGACTATCTCAAACTCTTCTCCACAGGTCCCGCTGACGATCACGGCCAGTGATCTCCCAGAAAGTCTGGAACAAACAGAAGCATTACTTTTTAGGGCCAACACCTTTCTCCATAATTCCCACCTTCCTTTTCTAAATGATTGCACCAATTAAAACAATGTACACCTTCCAGGTAGATTCTACACAGCAGAGAAAAATCTTCACGAGAGGCATAAAGGCTGGACTGCACAACCCTTCACTCCATCATTCTTATCTGTGCATTTCCCTGTTACTCCTCCTCCCCCCCCTGGTACCTCCACCACAATGACTTTTGCTACATCACAGACAGGCCTGCAAACAGGGGTGGTGGTGTCAAGGTTAATGCGAGCTAGGATTGCATGACTGCCTGTAAGTCTGGACAATAGAATGTGACTCTATCTCAAAAGAGAACAAGTATCAGCCACTTGTAGATTCCCTCCAGTTATTTCTATGGCCCGCACTTTATTTGTACAAGTACTAAAGCTGTGCTCTTAACAATTTGTGCCCGTTCTGAGAAAAAATTCCATGGCCTTTGATGATTGTGATGCATGTGCATCCCACACACACGGGTTTACTGTTCTCTTGTTATTTCGTTCTCTTTCAACAAGGATTATTTCTCACTGGAGTGAATTACATCACTGTTACATCCTCATATCTTGTTTTCACAGTTTCAGAGTTGAAAATGAAGACAGGGCAGTGTTCCAGAAGAACCCACCCTCTTCTTTCAGTAACATCTCACAGTTCCTATACATGTGAGGGATTAGGGTAAAAGTTTTATACATATTAACTGTTCTATCCATGTGAACCTCCTACAAAAAAAAATTTCTAGTAATCCTCTTTGGATGGGGAAATTGAGGTAGAGAACATTTAAGTATCAGATCTAAGATGGCACTGCTAGTAATAGGAGAAATCAGGACAGAAATCCAGGCAGCCTGGCTCCTGATGCCTTGCTCATAACTATGCCTCCACCCCTATTTCCTCAGCAATAATGGGCCTGACTGTGGTAGGGTGGGAATGAAGAAGCCTGAGTTTGCCCTTAGACTCCAACCTTTTGCATTATGAGAATCTCTTACAGAATGGTAGGCCGTACCCAGCCCTGCCTGTCTCATCCACTCTTAATCTCTGTGGCAGGCACCACATACATGGCCTGTGAACTTGTCCGTAGGTTCTTGAGTGACAATCAGAGAGACACTGATCCTCCCTTTTGTGTGAGTACTCCATGGTCCAAGGATGGTGCGTGATGGAGGAAGAGAAAGAATATTGACGTAGGAGGTAGTCTCATGTGAGTGATGTGGAAATGTCTAGTTGGCAAAATGGAGGCGTAATTCAGGTGAAGGTCCTGGAGATTCTCCAGCACCAGGCATGAAACTTGCAGTTCCTGCACTGTGGGCCCATCACACAGCCTAGAAAAAAAGGGCACTCAGTGGGTTTCGACTGTGGTTTCTTATCAAGCAGCATAAATTTTTCAAGAAATAAATAACTTATAACCTCAGGGAAGTTACTGTGGCTCAGTTTCCATCTGGGAACACAGGGTCTGCTGGGTGGAAAAGGGGGAAGGAATTTCTATGTGTGTCCTGTCTGTGCCCCACAAGGGAGGGTTCGGCACCATTTGCTGTGTGCTTTACCCTCAGCAATGACCCACAGCTGCAGGTGTATTTCCACAGCGGGGTGAATGAGGACTCACACATCACCTTCCACTTCTGAGTGTATCTTGGCCATTGTGTGGTCATGAACATTCATGAATGTGAGGCCTGGACGTGTGAGGTGACATGCCACAATGTGCCCTTCAAAGATGGAAAACAATTGGACCTGGGCCTCTCAGTGCTGGACAAGGAGTACCAGGTGAGCACCCAGGAGCTCCCAGCACGTGGCCTTTGCGGACTTCCAGAGCAGGAGGCAGCTCTCCCTCAGATGGCCACATGAGTTTCTTGGGCTCCTCCCATTACTACCCTTGCCCCAGGCTTTTCACCACAGAGCACCTTCTGCTTGCACTGCCATTTTCAGCTCGTTTCCTAAATCTGACCAAGGTCAAGGTCAGCTTACCTGCCATTTCCCCCAAGGAATGGAATCTCCACTGTCTTTTCTTACAGTGCTCATTTCTACTTAGGCAGTAACTTATATTTTCATTTAGCTGAATGAATACAATATGTGTAAGGATAAAATTGTTGCAGTCATTCAAAATATAAGCCGTTGTCTCACTCATGGACTCGGGGTTGACTTCTGAGGACATTACCAGTGCTCTGCTCTCCTTCCAGAGGAAACCTATGCCTATAGAAGCATAGAGGTCTACGATTTCATTTGCTTTTTAAACAAATAGTGGTATAAACTGCTCTACACATCACACATTAGAAGTTCATTTGTTCTTAAAAAATGTATCTTCAGGACATCACCTATCCATGGTGCTGCCTCGGTTTCTAAAGACTGCATAGTATCTCAATAGGAGTACCCAAAATGATAGAATTTGACCCTTTTGGTGGGCATTTAGGTTGTTTCCAACGTTTTGCTTTCACAAATAATGCCATATTAAGCTCTCTAATCAACGCTTTTGTCATTATCAACCTTCTGATACTTACACTGGAAGATAATTACAAAGAAATGGAATAACTGGGTCAAAAATGTGTGCATTTAAAAATCGAATATAGTACACCTATAAGAGAACTTTCTCTATAGACCTCAGTAAGTAAAGAATATGTTCAAACTTTCTGGCCTTCCCTAATGTTGATGCCCAAAGATTTACATTTTATTCCCATTTCAGAATCTTTTTATATGCTAATCAGCTATAAAAATAATATCGTATGTTTTACAACCCTAGTTCTGTTTTAACTCTCTAGGAACAATGAGTTTCATTCTTGGCCACCACCAACTCAGATCTCAGAGACTGTAAAGAAAAACTAGGCCATTGGCAGTGAATGGCACTCATAGTTCACGGAACTGAAATATAGGCATCACACTGGCCATGGAGAACTTCAAGGCTAGAGTGGAGGCTAAGCAAACAGAAGAGGTCGTGTAACACAAAGTAGTAGAATCCCACTGGAAAAATGAGAGAAAACAGGCTCTCCCTGGCCATGGAGAACTTCAAGGCTAGAGTGGAGGCTAAGCAAACAGAAGAGGTCGTGTAACACAAAAGTAGTAGAATCCCACTGGAAAAATGAGAGAAAAAATTCAAAATACAGTGAGCTACTGTTTGAAATAGCGAGAAAGGTAGTCTGTAAACAGAAGCCTCTCTGATGCAATCTGAAACTGCCTTTCTTTTCTTTCTTTTTCTTTCTCTTTTCTTTCCTTTTTTCCTCCATTCCTTCTTTCCTTCCTTCTCTGCTCTTCTCTTCCCTTCTTGTCTTCTCTTTTCTGATGGAGTTTTGCTCCTGTTTCCCCAGCTAAGGTGCAGTGGTGCAACCTCAGCTTGCTGCAACCTTCGCCTTTTGGGTTCCAGTGGTTCTCCTGCCTCAGCCTCCT